CCGTGTATATTTCAGTCACATATCTGCTCTGAAGACTTTCTGCCATGTTTTATTCGGCCAGATTTTTCTGTTGTCTTTCCTCTAACCACACCGTCGACCAGACTGTTTTTCTCCGACCCCCTTTTTTTTTGTTTCGTGCTTGAAATAATTGCTTATTTAAAAGTGACTTCAATTGTTCCTAACAAAAAATATCTTATCTTTATCATCGTGTACCAGGTAATACGTCCATTGTCTTTCCTTCTTTGCCTTTTTGTTTTCCTGAACTGTGACCATTTAACTAATACTGAATCTGTAGCAAATTTTGTCTTGCATCGTTACAAGTTTCATGTGGTGTTTCCTCTCTGATTCTGTCACAAGGTGAATTCAACAAAGCTGGATTAAAGCCGGGTAACGTTAAACTGTGTTTCTGGTCAATTTTGGTGGGATTCCTTGCTCACCGCTAGAGGAAAAGAAGGAAACTTTTTTGCATCACTTTTGCAGAAGGGCTTGGCGAAGTCGTTCTTTACATTTGAAGATTTTGTCGATCGGGATCCGAAGAGTCTCAGTGTTCGAGATCGTCTTTGCTTTTTATTTTTTCCTTTGATGTCTGCGTCCCAAACGTGTCTTTCGCTCACCTCAAAATCGACCTTATTTTTCCTGGACATCATTCTCTTTTTCCTTTTGGGAAAATCTTTCGCAACACTCTCTTTCGGGTTTGAAAAGGTCTGCACGTCTTCTCTTCGGGGGTTGCCACCAAAGATCTCATAATTCTTTGTGCCGATTTCCAAGTTGCTGAACTCGAAGAAAGTATCTCCTTCCGAGAAGTAACTACCCTTTACGTTTTCTACTTTGTTTTTCTTCACAGGGTGAGCTCTGATCCAGTTATTTGCTCTCTGAATTGTATTCATCCACAGGCCGTGGAGAAAGAGCTGGAAAAGGAGCGACGCCCTGTGTAAACCATCCGCCATGCTCACCAGTTTTACTCGCTGCTGTATTCGTCTTGCATGCGCAACAAACGTATTTCCATGACGTACCAGTAACTATATGATTTACAGCGCGTGCATGCATAAGCCTCGCGCTAAAAAAGGAGTTCGAGCCTCGAGTATCTTTTTCAGCAATAGACGGCACTTTCTTTCAGTTTACCAGTGTAATAACTCACGTGGGATGTTGGGAGAACACAAGAAAAGTTCAAATTGTGAATCAGAAGCCAGTGGTGAATGATTTAAAAGATTTTCAGGTCTTCACAAACACTGTGTGACATCCAAGCTCCTTCATTTTGTCACAAAATCTTAAAACAGGTACTTGAATTTCAGTTACCGCCAGCTAATGAGCAGATAGTTAAAAAATATCAGACAAGGAACAGGTACAGGGCAACTGAAACAGCTGTTAAAAGCAGAGTTAGACGACAAAAAATAGAGCCTCGACGGCGCTCAAACCCGTATCTCCACCCTTGAATATATCAACTGGACGCCGATGTCACTGACTTAGCCACAAGGCTTGACTGTTTCTACCGGTTCAAATGGTTCAGACAGGGACTCAACGTTGCATTAACGTGGCTGTAAGACTTCAGGGACAATATTTCAATCCTTCTAGTGTAGTTTGTTCGTAATGTCTGCGAGCGACTTGATTGCAGTGAAAGGAAGGTCAAATATTAAATCTTCCGTCTGTCTCGTTTAGCACCTTGTCTTTGTGGCGACAAGCCTCTAGATTAGAGGAAAGGGGATGACATAGAGCTCTTTATAATTGCCTTGGATTTGACACTCATTAACTGGTACAGCCGAAAATAGACAACTTTACATTTATTGAACATGATCTACCAACAAGCAGTTTAGAGAGACAGATTCTCTTTATCTTAGGTTTTTATAAAGTGCTTTTAAACATTAGAGTCACAGCATCTGCACCGTGCACTGCATTTAAGTTAATATGTTATAATTAAAACAACACTGTAGAAATTTTGAGTCGATTCATCCAGTTGAATTTTCCTATGGGGTTTTGCTTCTTTAAAAGTTGTCTGTCATTGCTCAAAACCGTCTTTTTTCATTCCTTTCTTCATGGAGTAGGTGTAGTTTTTCCTGAAAATTATAAAAGAGCAACGAGAACGCAAATGGTAATTGTGCTTATAACAGGAAATAAAAATCGCATGATGTAGATGCATTTCATAAAAAATACGGGCCCGAGTGTGGTTTTAGAAAGTTATAATAATAAATAATAGTTAATGGTAGTCAAAGCACTCACCCTGGTGCAATTTAAAAAGCTTTTAAGCATAAAAGAGAACTTTAATCACCAGACGCACGTGCAGTTCATGGGTTGTTTTATCGAGTCATTATACATGGGTCTTATAGCACCTTGTTACTTTTCATCGGCTTTGAAAGAAGCTCGCATGTTAAAGGAAGTGCAAGGAAATTGAAAATACGAATAACAAAAAAATATATATGATATTTATCATTATTTTTCTTGATATCATTGTCATTATTACTATAATTATAATTGCAGTGATAACTTCAATGGTGTTCAAAAGTTTGATTACAATAGTATTATGATAATTTCTTACTTATATTTAAAGTAATTCAATTAATTACCAAGAGTGGTGCTTCTCTTTTTCTTCCAAATTCCACTGGCGGAATGTAAGGAGGTTGATCTTCTTTTTCCTGAAACTTGGATGCACGCATAATTCAAAATTAAAGCCAACTGCGTGATTTTGAAAGTTCTTCAATGAATTCTACCTTCTTTTTAAATCCATCAAAACAACCTTGCCCGATTTCAGTATCGTTTACATTCCCGTCATCCAGCTCATGATCCACATCTGAAGATGACATAATTTTCCTACTATTACGATAAATTGTATTTTCTCAGAAACTTGATGGGCATGTGATAAGGTAGGAAAAGATCCTGCTCCGTTCCCATTTTGTCCCTGTTTTTTTTTTTTTTTTTTTTTTTTTTTTTTTTTTGAGCTCTCGCTCAAAAGGCTGAAATGATGGATGTAAAGTCGATCCTCAAGTTTGGATCCAAACAGCTATTATGCACGATGGTGATTTTGAGGATTTGTCTTTTCAAATCTAAATGAATAGTCTTACTTATGCAAGGGTCTCAGTGAGAGGGATCGTGGCTTTTACGGCTAATGGTTAAATTTTGGCCATTTTACGGCTAACTTTAAATATCTTCCCACTCAGTTGTCACCAGAAATTTCTTTTTTACGGTTAAATTTTTTTGCGGCTATTGGTTAAAATTTGTCAATTTTTAAGATTAACGGATAATTTTTTGGCCGTTTTACGGCTATAGGTTGACCCCATTGAGACACTGTTGCAAACCAAAACTCGCATAAATCAGCGTGCGAATAACCTTTCTTCAGATACTCCTTTAGATACTCGCATTTTGAACTGAAGTTACTCTTGCGATAAGCTTATAGGGAAGTTGAGTACAAGTCTTAAGAAATTTAAGACATCTTTCAAAATTTTCTTTTTCACAAGTGCAAAAAAAAAACATCGTTGTTATCATTGGTGGCGATGCGTGAAATCCATTTCAAGTGTGAAAGAAATTTCAAACTGTTTCTTTGGTAATTATAAGATAGCGGGAAAAGGCAAAATGAAAGAAGAACTAAACTGAAAACTAATGAATATACCAAAGGATGGAGGAGAATGATTTAATTTTTCAAATGTGCCAACCGAATATGGTAGTTTCTTTGAATCAAAAGTATGATAAAGTTTTGCGTCACCTGAGATCTTTTTATATCTGAATCCACAGTTGTACGGCGCAGTAGTCCGTTGTCTGGATGTTGAAATTCGACGAGTCCACATACATAAGTGAGACACGAAAACCATACCAGATATTTCATGTCTGACGAGAACCTCTTCTTTACTTTGTGCCGCTTTTACTCTCCAAGAATACCCTTTTTCAACCACCACCTTTTATATATTCAAACGGTTCGGCTAATTTTTCCTACGCTGATAGACATATTAGGTGTTCGCGTGGTCTTATAATTAACTCAACAAGGAAATATATTTTCAATGAAACCTCCAACACCACTGAAATTTATAAACCCCTTTTATTGCAAGTGCTCTCTTTTCTTTTGACTGAAGCGGGCAAATACAGACTTGATGCAATCAGTTTTAATAACGGAAACTTGTGATACCTTTCCCACGCTGGCGACAACTGAACACGACTCATTTCTTTGTTCTCGGGCTCTATTTATTTGGTGAACGACATGTTTACAAGAGTATAGATTATTATTCAACTTTTGTCCTTATCATCGTGTTAACTTGAAAATGAAAATTTTTATTAATTAAGTATAGTAATTTTGATGAGCGATTTCATTTCCTTTGGATTGAAACGGAAATCAACTTTAGTTCAGGAAGTGGGTGTAAGAGCTCAAGAGTGCTCTAGTACATTTGTTTCCTAGGATTAATAATCATTGTAATTAATTTGAAGTACAGCAAACTGTTGTTTATCTATTGAAAATAATAAACGATGAAGTTGATATGCTTGTGACGGAGGAAATTTCGAACTCTATGAGCCAAAGGTGATTGAGTTTTGTCGATAATCTAGCTAGGACGGTGGATCCAAAGGGAACACTTTTTAAATCTATGCAAAAAAAAAAAAATAACAACAACAAAACAAGCGGCCAATTCAAACCTCTAGGTGTGAACTTATCTTAGATTTCCACCAATTTTGAATTCCGCTGGATTTTTTTCCTGGCATTTCGACTCTCGCTTTTTTCTTCTACTAATGAGTAAGCAGTGAAAAAACAAAAAACAAAAAAATTAAAACACTTCCATTCCCGATATTTGTTGACTTTTACCAGTTATAGCAGAGTTGATAGTAACCTGATTAGATCATCAAAAGATACCTGTCTGCTAGTAAATCTATCTACCGCGAAAAGAAGAATTCACCAAATAAGGTCCATGACTTGCAGAGGCGCTGGGCGCTTTGGAGTAGTAAGGGGAGGGGGGAGAGGTTTTTGTACACCTTTTTCTCTTAAAATTTCTTCCATGTAAGTTGCTTGGAGTCAACAAGTCTCTTTGAAATTTTTAATAAACCCACACACCTTTCTTTTTCTTTGAGCGCGATCCTCATGATCGCGATCCTCATCATGATCCTCATCCTCGCGATCCTTATGAAAAGAAGATAATCGGACCGAGTATTTAACCAAATCAAATTATTCATATTGCGTTGTCCTTTGCGAAGGGTGGGGGAGGGGGGTGGGGGGGTGAGTAGAATAGAGGGAGAACTTGAACCGCCCCTTCCCAGACCCCCTTGCTCCGCTGAGTAGGGCTTCACAATAATCAATCATCAATTTAATCAATTAGTCTCTTAATTAATTATCTAAATATTGTCAAAGAGGCGGAAAGCTAAACATTTGCAGGGACCAAGTAAACTTTAATCGTGGGAGAAATCAATATGGGAAGGCGGCTCAGAAGTCAACATTTCCGGCGCAAAGTAAATTTGTAATAACTAATTTTATTTCTACACAGTCAGACCATTAGGGTTCGTGATTAGCTTGAGAAGAAAGTGGAAAATCGACCCGCAGAGTTTGGTTTAACAAAGTCTGTGGTGAAATCTCATGTGATTTGTATGGGATAGTTCACCCACCTTAGTCCTAATTTCATCCGTACGTGTTTCTTTCGAATATAGAAGGTATTTTTCGCCCTTGATTTGACAAGAAAGTCTGTGGGCGGTTTTTTCCTGAAATGCGACAGTTAGCCCCTTTAAACGTGTTATTTTGAGGTGTACGTCATCCATAGTCGGGTGCCACTGTTTCATGAAAATCTTCGCGTGTTTTGTTTTAACTAAAATTTAAGTTCAAATTCAAAATTTGACAAGCGGCAAGATGTGACCGCATGCACGATTCTCGTTTCTTTAAACTTGTAAAGCTGTTTTGATGCCCACGTTTACCCATTTGAAACGTCAAACAATGAAACGTGTCCAACTGAAGATTTGAAGTTTTGAGCCAGTAAATCCTAACATCAGAGGATTATCGGCGCAAACGTTTGTAATTCTCTATAATTGTTTGACTTAAAAGTCAGCGAGGCCTTAAGCTACTATATTCGTATCAAGAAAAACGGATCACCTTTGATTGCAGTTGGCTTTAATTTTTTCAGAAAATAAGCTTCCAAGATTTCGGTCGATAAAACCACGAACTGATGCGTAGATCAGCCTTACTGATACATCTATAACGCTACTGAAGAACAACATGCAATGGTTTGTCGTATTGTTTCGCAAATCCCACGGTCTAAATTTCACAGATCGGAACACACTTCATTTCTGAATTTTTTTCCTAACTTACTCCGTCGTTCCGTAGGAATGCTTTTCTACACCAACACAAGCAAACATATCCTTTACTTTCTTCTCCTGTCTATTGAAAAGACTATAGCTAGTGTTTGCGCGAAATTCCTAATCCACTACTGCCGACGCAAAGAATAGCTGAAAAATTAATGAAATGTTTAATCTTTTCGGGCAATCATACTTGAGAAATTCTCTTGTCGTAAAGAACTCAAATCTCAGATCGTGAGAGAAATTGGCATCTCTCGGTTATAGTTAAATGGAATTATCTTCTAGGGTTGGAAAGAGCGTTGTTATACCTACTTAGATACATTCCAACTCGATATCAATCTCAGAATTGGATTTTATAACAATTCTTCCGTCATCTTGTTCACTCGTCAGATCCTCTGATGTTCCAGACAGTTGTAATCCTTCAAAGTTTCCATTTTCGTCACCGTCGTATTCTTGGGCGTCAACACATTTTAAGCTTTGGAAATATTCGGCCACAGTACACGCCAGTCGTTTCGCCTCACTTTTTGTCTCGCACAAGAAGGCCTGCGTTAAGAAAACCTCTCTTTCTTCTCCCTCGAGATGATGATAATTGAACACCAGGATCTTTCGCCGTTTGCTGTCAACTCCACAATAAATAATTCGGCTGAAATCATAAACAATCTTTGTACCTTGATCTTCGCCTTCTTGCAAGCAAAGTTCAAAGCAGTTGTCCTTGATCTGTAGAGTTTGTTTTGGAAGCAATTTCTGCTTCAGTCTTGCCTTACAGTTCTCAAAGATCTCCTCGATAGATCCGCAAATTCCTTCCCCAATAGGGCACAATATCTGCACGCTTCCAAGTTAGATAACTGAAAAATTGTCTTGCGGTTCACGCCTGTCTCTTCGCCAAGATCGGCTTAGATTTTGTAGTGTCGAATAGGCCATTCTGGTACGCCCAGGAATCAAATTTAAAAGCGAATGCTGTCTTGGATTCCTGTCCTCCCACATTTGCGAGCGGAATAGCTTTCCTTAATCTATAATTAAATTCCGGGTACTCACGACACCAACAACTTCGACTAAAGTTGATTAAGATGCAACTGGAACTACACAAACATAACACATTTGAAAAAAACATATATTTGTTTTATGATATTGTTACGAGCGCTATATACGTCAATGTGACATCAAAACAACTCAATCTAATTGGCTGTTGCTCTGTAAGCAAACGTTGAAGAAAAGAAGAGTTTATTTTCACTAATAATTATCCTTGGCCGTGATCATTCTAGGAAGCACTACTTCAGTTAGCTATGGTGAATATGGAATGTTTTATTGTTTGTGCTCTGACATCCGTTCAGGCGATTTGTCGACTGGCCTTTTCAATACGATATGACCTGCTTAGCATAATAATTACGTTATTCAATTTCCTGAAACAATGAGTTTGTCTTTATGGAATTCTACGTTACAGATATACAAACAAAAGCAAAGTTTTGAAAAGCTACAAGCTTTTATCTATTAATGAATGTTATTTTTAGCTACTCAGCAAATATAGACTCCTATAATTATGTACTCCCCTAAGTAGCTCATATTCAATTGGCAATAGGTAGTTAAAACTATCTAATAAACTATCTATCTCACCCCAAAGAACGACTGCATCGGAAAAGAACAGCAAGGAGTCTTAAGAATTTTAGATTTTTATAGCATCTGGGAGCTCCTAAGGAAAATTCTAAGACGGAAATGTGGTGATGCGAGGGTAAACAAAAAAGGGCAGTGGTACCAAACAAAGGCCTTACAGAATGTACTGCACCACATTTTGAGTATTCTGTGATTTAGAACATGAAAATTGCCTCGGACATAGTTCCTAAAGAAACTGAGTTGCTGCGCCGGTGGGAGGTATAACAAGATAATTTGGTTTTATCAACTTATTTTATAAATGATATAAATTTCCAGTGTAAAGAGGTTCTAAACGGTTGAAGTTTGGAACGTTAGCCCTTCGTCTTCCCCCCTAACGAAGCGCTCATTAGCGCTAACGCTCGAAACTTCAGCCCTTGCGTCTCTTAAGGTGTCCACTTTACATTGTAAACACAGTCGGTAAAGTCAAATTAGTTTAGAATAATAGTTTTCTTAGTTGGAAAAACACCAATGGGATAAGAACAAGGACAGGTGTGTGGAAGGGCGATCAATATGACTGGGTTGAAAGTTGATATCAGCCACAAAAAATGTAAAAGAAATCAAGGTATATGTGCGACGTGACCTCCAGTGAAGTATCTTCATGAAGCAAGGAACGAGGGTAAAAAAGGGGCAAGGGGAGAAAGGGGGTGAAGAGGGGAAGGGGAAATGGGGGAAAGAGGAGCAAGGGGAGAAGGGGAAATGGGGGAAAGAGCAGCAAGGGGAGAAGGGGAAATGGGGAAAAGGATGTAAGGTGAGAAGGGGAAATGGGGGAAAGAGGAGCAAGGGGAGAATGGGGAAATGGGGGAAAGAGCAGCAAGGGGGGAAGGGGAAATGAGGAAAAGGGTGTAAGGGGAGAAGGGGAAATGGGGAAAAGAGGAGCAAGAGGGGAAGGGGAAATGGAGGAAAAGGTGTAAATGGAGAAGGGGAAATGGG